AGATGGTTTTAGTGAAGTGAAAAATTCAATCCCAGACTAAATATTGTGATCCTGCACCAAAACTCGACACCACTCCGTAGCGCCAGGTCTGTGGTTTTCCAGTGAAATATGGACTTCTTTTGAACTGCTGCCTCAGACTCTTATTTTTGTTCATGGCTTGGAGGTTGGCGCTGATCATGAATTAGATTTAAAAAAAAAAAAAAAATTCCAGATACATACTAAAACACGCTAAAATTAGAGTTGGGTGATGATAAAAATATTATATCATGGTACTTGAAGACACTTCTACAATACACGATATGTAACATGATATATAAGCTGCAAGCAACACAGTAGTGCTGCATTTAAAAACGAACTGTGAATAATTTCATGATAGTTCTGTTTGAGATAAAAAAAAGAATGCATTATAAAAGAAAGAAAATAGAGGGAATTATAACAAATCATTCTGTAATTAAATATTAAGAATTTAAAAGATTCAGTACAACGTTTTTAATTTTAATTTTTAAAATCCAATATAATACTATTATAACAAATGTTACTTAAAAAAGATGTCTGGATCTCAGAAAAGTGCAGTGACAATTTATCATGATATCGATATTATATCATGGCATTCCCCATCCTTAACTAAAATCTATATTCACATGAATCTATTAATAGCTAAATCCCATACCAAGCATGATGCAAACAACATGCAATGCAAACAACCAGCACACCCCTAAACATCCCTGTATGCATTAGTACACTAGTATATTACATATTACCCTAAGTTCTGTATCAGTTAATTGATAGTCATTCTTATAACTATTTTCTTTTGTTTTTACAATATCTAGTAATCATAATAAAACATTTAGGGTCTTTTTAGCTCTTTAAAATAAAATGCTGCTAATTGGAAATATTGTAGTACATTTTGCAGTGATGGTCGTCATATTTCAATGATGATATTTTTATCTAAAAGTCTTGTACATGGTTTTATTTACTTTTTTTAGGGGATTTTTAATCACACAGATCTGGCAACCCTGGCACCAGATATGGACGTGTCTTAGCATGCACAAAGATGAAACTACTCAAATGTGTCCAGGATCCAAAACAGGTACGCTGTACTCACATAGCGAACTTACATAATTACGCAATTAACTTTATATAATGTTTATCTTAATTATGAGATTATACACGTCCCAGATAAACTGCTTCGGTTTTGCTCTTGGGCTGTACTGTACTAACAACCTGTTGTACTGTAGTGGCCAAAATCTTTTCAAAAATCCAGAAAACCTCCAGGAAGAGGATAATAATTCACAAGATTTTGATTACAAGATCGCAATCTACTCACAATTACTTCTATATACACTGATAACAAAAAGTTGCCTCTGGTTCCTATAGAGCTCAGTGGTTAAATGCAAACACTTATAGAGCAAGATAATCACACACAAGCTCTTTTTTCATCTTACTAATGCGCACGCTGTAGCGTTTACAAAGGAAGACTACAATCACCAGGGATCTCATGGCAGATCTCGTCCAGCCTGGATATTACAAGAGTACTGTTGCACAAAGCATCGATACTTTCACAATACTACAGTGTGTTGTATTATGCCTGTAGACATGCTAATTTGACTCGAATTGGCACCGTCACGCAAGGAATTCACGCAAGCCCTTTGTCAAGCAAATAGGCTCTTTAGCGAAAGTGCTCGGGAACTGTCTGTAAGCCACATGAGCTTTACAGCACAATATACCACAGCATTATTCAATTCCTGAATCTGATTGGTCAGGTGTTGTTATTTAACAAAAATATAATCATTATAATATAATCATTGATGGGACGTTTTTTGGAAGGAAATGTTTATGTAACATTTTGGAAGGAGTCTCCAGTGTCAGCGCTTTTTAATTGCTTCATGACAGAGGAGGTTAAGGGTTCTCAGTACCATAGGTTTTTTAAGTCTTATTAACTTCAAGAGAGAGAAATCAAAAACAGGCTTGTTAGAGAAGGATAACAGGAACTAACTAGTTTCACAGATATTCCACAATATTAAACATAACAATAAATGGATAAAATATGACGTGTTGTTCGTTAATAAATAAAAATTGTTCATCTTCATCATCATCTTCAAATTGCTGTGGTATAAGAGGAATAAATCACTTCAGGACACGCCGTTATCGGAAAATAATCAACAGTACGTCTTGGCCTGCATTGTGTCGGGCCACATCACAACCTTGTTGTTGATTATTTTCCTATTTTCCCAAGTGTTTTACTCCTTATTTATGGGATGTTTTCCAGTAACCTTTGTGCTCTTAGTCAAATCCATGTTGTATTTATTTTAAATTGTGGTAAATGTCAAATGATAAATGCTTGCCTTTTTTCATAGTACCACTTCAGCATTGCAAACAGATCTCATAAAAAAAAAATTGTATAAATCAACATCGCATGAAGGTAGTGAGAAACGGTACGAACGCTAACTCCGATCCTAAACCTTTACGAACTCTTTTACGAATTGCGTCGCACATACTGTTACGAATTTGCAGTGTTAAAGTCATCTTTGTCAAAATGATGCTATTGTTATAACCCTGTACATGAGATAATGGCTTATAATCAACGTCAAAACAAGATGTTGATTATCACCAGAGTCTCAGATCTGCATTTCAATCCATCTCATGTTACATGAAATGTAATCACCTCATAGTAGAAATTTTGCACACTAAATGAATATCAGTGGCACATCGCCACTAAAGATTTCGCTTGCATTTTATGTCTGGGAGTCCTGAGTGCTGGCGAATATCCTTTTGGGGTGTGTGTGTGTGTGTATGTGTGTTTAAGAGCTCTGCAAGAGGGTGTGAGATCGAGATCCATTCTGAAATATCCCGGTATGAAGAACGTATGGAGAGATGGACAGGCAACGGCCGAGCTTTTAATAAACTAAACATCCTTCTATTTATCTGTCTGTCAGATTTACACAGATAAGACTGTTCCTTATACATACATTATAGATTGAAAGAACAATCCCAGTGTCAAAAAATTAGAGACCATGCATAAACATTGATTACCCCAGGCAGAACATGGGAAACAATATGGTGTATACTTGGGATTGTTTACCTCAAAAAAACAACAACAACAAGGAGCAATCAATCTCGTCACGTGACACGAGGTCGTACAGATGTGATGTGAGGTTAGAGTGAGGAACGCTGGAACAGGCTGGAGCAGTGAACGCAGCACGGCAGCCTTTAGTGTGGTTAATTGGTTATATGCGCGTCACCGCTTCAGATGCTGCATGTAATTAAATTAAGGAGAAACGCACAAAATGTGGGGTTTTTTTTTAATGGTTTTTGTAAACAAGCTCAAGTTTGAACAAGCAGGAATGTACATTAAATGATTCAGGCTTTAGAAAAGGCGAGACTCTGTGATGAAGCAATCACGAATGAAATATTAATGTGTGTGGATTGGAGACAGAAAAAAAACAGCCATAGCCATGCAGCGCGAGCGCGTTGTCTCAGGTTGGGTCTGAGATGTACAAGCCTCGAGCATGTGCGAATCGTCTGCTTAAAAATAAATAGATATGTGTATAGGTATATGCAACAACCCTGATTTGATTTGCTCGCCTCCTTTGTTCTGAACAGAGCAGAGCTGCTGCTGTTGAACACGTTTAATCTCCAGAGCCTGGCCACGGCACGCGCACACACTCCGCTTAAGCATCCATGCACGAGCGTTTTCACTTCTGCTTTCTGCACCAGGCAAAGCGTGCATTCCTCATGCAACCGGAGCAGCCATGGACAGCAAAGCAGGGCATCAGTGTGAACGCAGCACTCAGCGTGTACACACAGAGAGAGAGAGAGAGAGAGAGAGAGAGAGAGAGGGAGAAGGAGAGAGAAAGAGAGAGAGAGAGAGAGCGAGCGTTTCCAGCCTCGCGCGCACCTACCTGTGTTCAGAGTGCAACAGTTAGATCCACAGCTCTGCTCCAAAACAACACAATCCTTGCTTCGCAGTCCTGTTTCTTTCTTTTCTTTTAATATGTATTTATATACCTCTCTCTCCTTTTGTGTGTGTGTGTGTGTGTGTGAAAGAAAAACACCAGGACGGAGGCGAATTTAAAAAAAACCCAGGGTGCTGCTCACCGCCCCGACTGCGTCGCAAATCTCATAACCCCGAGAAAACCGTCTCGCTTTCTTCAGAAGCGCGGGGTCGGCAGCTACTGGCCCTTTAAATGGAGCGAACCACCTAGTGAGCAGGGGTGCGCCATTGTTCTCGTGCACTAAACATCACCGATACAAGCATTTCCATCACTACTCACATCAACATTCGTTTCTAAATTACATAATTTCTTATTATTTTGCCTCAAGTATCAGTTACTTCGTACAATCACGCATTTTAATGATCGGTCTCATTGTATAAAACACCCTCACGCAGGGGATGGTTTAAGCCCGCCCTTCAGCTAGTATTTTTCTACCAACCCAGATGTTGGATGAAGAACGCTATATGGTCGTGTGTGTGTGTGTGTGTGTGTGTGTGTGTGTGTGTGTGTGTGTGTGTGTGTTTACAATAACAACAACTAAGGTCATGCTCAAAATAAGATACAAATAAGGTTTGCATTATGGTTTTAATAGTCACATGGCACATGAAGAAAGCCTTTAATGGTCACATATTGTACATTACAGTAAAATTCATCTCTTCACATATCCCAGCTTCTTAAGAAGTTCTGGTCAGAGCACAGGGTCAGGTATGATACAGAACCCCTAGTACAAACAGGGTTAAGGGCCTTGCTTAAGGGCCCAACAGTGGCAGCTTGGTAGTGTTGGCCCTGCTGAAAAAAAACAAAAAAAACAAGAGAAACCCTCATAGAATTTGTAATGGTTTTAAGGGAAATGATAATGGTCCTTGTGAGTCTCTACTGGTAATTTGTTGCCTTCTGTTGGTGATATGTTATGTCTAGTGGATACCATTAAGGACCAGTAATGGTTAGCAATGGAAGCCATTAGAATTTCTGTGAAGGTTTCTATCATCTTTTTTGCCTGCCCCACCCAACAGGGGGGCTTGAACCCCCAACCTTCTAGTCAGCAACTCAGTGCCTTAACCATTGAGCCACCCCTGCCCTTGAACAAGTGTTTCAAGAGAGAGCACAAACACAGTCCCCCACTGTCAGAAATTATGCACTCGAGCTTCCCACATTTGGGGAATTCGCACGGGTCAGGACAGCCAGAGTCCAACTGCTGAGCCTCGCCTTGGGCGAACCACCTTCTTGATCATGGTATCACCCCTGCCAGGTAAGACGTGCACATAAGCATGAAATCACTCATTCCATAAAAGCTCACATGAGCTATATTAAGCTATTTGAAACTAAATGGGGCATGTATTCTTCTTATTATTCCTATTTACATTTCTAATCTTATTTCTATTCTTATCTTTGCATTGTTCTAAAAAAACAAACAAAAAAAAACTGTTTGTCTAAATGTGGGCTTCTGTGCCCTGAGAGTGCTTTACAGCTTATTTATGATATGAGGATAGACTAGAGTGCATAAGATGCACCCTTATGCTGTTTTCCAGTAATGAACTTTGATGTAATCTACCAGCAAATAGCAAAGCAATCTATTTATTCAAATGATGCAGCCCAGTAAATGGCTGTTTAGGGAAAATGACACTCTGCAGTAAACAAATGTAAATTCAGCTGACATAAAGAGGCAGAGAATCATGATAAAGGATCTCTGCCCACAGCGGGTTTAATCAAAAGTGCTAACAGCTATCAGAATAGGCCTCTCTAATACACAGCTTCCAGCCAGTTGTGTTGGAGGATTGCCGGACGATTTACTTCCACATGCTGGGCTGATTCAGCTGAAAGATGTCATGTCTTTAATTCAGTCCAGTTTTTATGTGTATAGCACTTTTAACTATAGATATTGTCACAGAGCAGCTTTACAGAAATCTGGATGTAGATCTTAGATCCTCAGGCGACAATGGCAAGGAAGAAACCGTGAAAGGAACCAGATTCAAAGTGGAACTTATCCTCTTCTGGGTGATACCGGATAGTGGGATTATAAACCATTACTCTTCTACAGTTAGTATGACATCTATAAAGTCAGACAGTACTAAGTGTTATGAAAGGATCTTCAGTATGAGTAGCTTGTATATAAGAGTCCAGGGATGAGCACAGGACAGTCTTTATGATTACAGCAGCAGCTCTTAGGTACAAATCTACACATGGCCATAACTAGCGATGAGGACACAGAGATCTGGACCTTGGATGTTTTTTTTTTTTTTTTTTTTTTTGCACATATATACGAGGTTTGTACAGTTTTTACAGTGATCATAACTAATTTAGTTACAATGTAGACATTAGAAAAGTTTACTTTTCTAGTTTAATTTCTTATTAATTACTCTAAGTAACATGTTTTTCCTGGAATAAAATGTTGATTTTGCAAAAGTTTGTTCAAAGAAAATGGCCCATTGTTCATGTAAAATGGCTATAATTTAAGAACAACCTCTACTCTATTGTTCTCTAATGTATGAAATCAGTTCACTGAGACCATATGAAAAATATGCTGGGAAAAATAATGGAAATGCTCAGTAAGTTTCAATAAGCAGATCAAACAAATTATATATTCTTATATTGTGTGCTCCTTTAATATTAGGATAAAAATGACTGTCATGTTTATATGAAAGAAATACGAAAGCAAAAAGATCTAAGATATTGTGAAATGTCCTATTTTTAAGGCTGTAAACTAAGCTGTTTTGTAAATCAAAATATTAAACTCGGTAAAAATGAAGTCAGAATGAAGTGGAGTCAGAGCAGTTTATGGAAGAATGGAAGTATAACATTAGAAATTAGAAACTGGTAGTACACACTGGGCATTGTGATCACAGGCCTCACTAAAATACTGGTTACGCCCCCGAATCTACAGTATCCAGGTGAGAATCAAGAGTAAGAGTTGGACATAACTGTTTTGGAGAAGTGCCTATCTTTAGGGGATCCATGTGGGACAAGGCACAAGCACAGAAGTAGAGCATCAAGAGCTTTCGATGTGAAGATGGAGTCTGGGTGATGTCACGGTACATCCAGTGACCTAAATGTGATATGTAAACACTACAAGGGGTGAGGACGGGGTACAGGGCAGCGTTTGGCCTCTAAAGCCCTCTCCATCTTGCTCTCTAATCCACCCCCGGTTTGAGTTTGGCACATCCATCAGGTCCTACCTTATTTCTCTCTCTTTTTCTCTCTCTGTAATTGTGTGCATCTGTAATCGAAGCCATTTGAGGCTCTGTGGCTGTGTCGGCCGTTCTGGGGGAGTGGAGGAGTGGAAGAGTGGGGCTCGGTGCTGCTGTGTGAGGCCTGCCAGAGAATTCAGGATGGGAAAAGGGCAGGAAAAAGCGAAGGAGTGCGAGGGAGGGACCCTCCCGTGAAGATAAAAAGGGGAGTGTGTGGTTTTCTCTTTGAAAGCAGGGCCCTAATCATAGTGAAGCGCTGTCATGCTGCTGCCCCACATCCTAAACACACACACACACACACACACACATACACACACACCATTTGAGCACATGTTCAGAGTTAAGGCAAGCGTAATGGAAAAATGCACTAAACTCATTTGTATCAGAACACAAACAGTAGTTTGACTTCCTTATTTGTTCCAGAAAGAATGGCTTCTTATAAATAAAGAACACCTGCATCATTTTTTAGGTTTCAGTTGAAGTGCTAAAGGGAAAGTCCACCCTGAAACATATTAAATATATCATACTGAAATACTTGTGTGATGTGTTAAGTGATTCTGGTGATGATTTGTTGGTCGGTGCTGTATTTACATCTATATTCCTGTGAGAAGTTAGCGGTTGTCTACTGCTCTGGGACGAAAAAGACTTAATTATCTTGACTTAAATAACTGATGTCACAGAGGGACATTGTTATTGATAGCACAGTTACAATGGAGTTTAATAGGAGAAAAAAATTCACACATCTCAAACATAATTTGTAACAGTCAGGTTCCACTCAAAGCTCAAAAAGAGCCAAAAGAGCCAAAAGAGCAAGCGTTATTGGCAAATACTCGGCTCAGCTAGTTAGTAATCTACGAAATGACGAGTGTGTTAGTGTTGACGGCGGTATTAGCATGAAAGCTGATGTTTTGTTAGTTGATCTGTTTGTGCAGGGTGTACAAATGCGGAGGTGACAGTTGCACAGACTAAAAGACTAAAGCTCTGCTGCATCACTCTCTTTAAGTAGAGATGAAGCGAGGGCTAAATCCCACTGGCACCACTATCAGCAGCATTGTGGTTAACCAAAATGAAAATAAACCAATGTCGATGAAAGATGTTTAAACTGAAATGCCACTGAAGATCATATGTTAAATATAAAGATTAATATGCAAGTCATTCAGGGTGGAGTTTTTTTCTTTAAAGTAGCTGCCCTTTGGTTCAATCAGAGTAACAACCTCTTATTAGTTTCATTCTGTTGTATTTATGTGCCATCAGGATGAATAAAACAACCTTTTCATCATATGTAACGTCGGCTCCTTTTTATCATATCATGCCATCGGAGAGTGGATTGTGATTTATTGGATTTCTAAGATTATTTAATTTCGTCTTGCCTTTAAAGTGTTTGTGTGGAGGTCACGCTCCGTCTCTTCTGAAGGTCGAAGCAGGAATGGACAGCCAGGGTATGTTTATGAGAGCCTCTCTAAAGCTGCATTTACAAGCCTCATTGAAACTTCATTCACCTTGAAAAGAAAAAGACAAATGTTTACAGCATGCTATATTTAGTCTTTTTTATATGATACTGAAAAAGGAGAAGAGAAGAAGAAGAAGAAGAAGAAATTCTGTAACACACAGATGCGTTAATGAAAAAAATACATTTATGAACAGCAAATGGTAAAAAAAAAAAATCACATGATCATTTGGTATGACCAGTTTTGGCCTTTAAACTGTTTTTTTTTTTTTTTTTTGTTCTCTGAGGTACAATGCATTTTGGAGAACTTGAACTTGAGACAGACCTTCTGCAACCTTTGTCTCACTTGCTTCTGTCTTGGAAGGCATGCAAGTTTCTCTGTGAAGTTTCATTTTTGTAGAAAATGAATGAGGAAGTCTAAAATCTGCTCTTTTTTTTTCTACCGACACCCTAATCCAAAAGCTATAAAATAATCATTTAAGACAAAATTCAGGCTGGAAGGCATCTAAGACTTTTCCACAGTTTTGAACGAGCCTTAAAATGAAGCCACAGTGAAAAATCACATACAGTACATTTCACATATGATCACAAGTTTTTCCACATGATATCATATGTGTGATCACATATGAAAAACAATGTGAAGGTGCATTTCAACATGTTATGCTCTGAAACGACATGTCTGAAATCATGTGAATAATGTGAAAAAGAATTATTCATGTGAGAAAAATCATATCCGCAAAATAAAACCACATGCCCTACGTGTGAAAACTGTGTGAAGCCTGAACATGTCATGTTTAAATTTCACATTTGAATCACATCCAGTTATTCACCTGTAACATAAATGTGACCTTTCTACTTGAATTGAGCAGACTTCTTCACTTTAAGACTTAATTAACTTCAGATTAATGTAAAATAAATAATTAAGTATAAAAAAAAAATAATTGAGCCAGTTACACAATCAGCAATTTATACCTCACGCGGTTTGTTCTAATTACACTGATTGGCATCTTTCTCTATGGCACGGTTGTCAGTCTGCGGTGGTTCCACTCACTTCCTGCCTGGATAATTAGAGGCTGAGCTGAAGCCTGGATCTGCTCTTTGGCCGCCGGAGCCCTGCGATGCCTCCTGGTGGCTGGTGAAGGGCGATGATGATGATTGCACCGCCAAGCCTTTATTTCCTTCTTGTTTCATTTGATTTGATATCATTTCTGACCCTTCATGTGGAGTTTTCCACGTTTCCAGGCTTGGGATTGTCATGGTAACAGATTTTCTTCTCATCTTTGGCAAGAGTGTGTTTCTGCTGCCTATCGCTCATGTAGCTACTGAAGCAAAAATGCAAGATGTTTCCTGTTGAAATATCTGCTTCTGTTTAATACATTGATTGACTTCAAATAAGCCAGGTTTGTGTGTGTGTGTGTGTGTGTGTGTGTGGCTACTGTGATTGG